AGTGCAGCGTGGGGGCAGCTCAGGGAACGCAGGATCTCCAGACTTACTGACCTTGGGTTTTCCCAGTTGCTCCTCCCCGGCTCCAAAGGACAAGAGACAGCACAGACACACTCTGCTTTCCCCCCGACACGCTCCAGGGCGTGCACACACGCGTGTGTGTAAGGACCCTCCTTGCAGCACTGGCTGAGCACAAGCACTCTCGTGCATGCCCCTCCCAGAGCTACCAAGGTAGCTGAGGGTGTCTTCACTGGACCTGGGGGTCACCTCCCTCCCCACCCCATCCTCCATGAGCCTCAGCTCAGGTCTGAGCTAGGACAAAGTCCCCTCGGCCTCCCCTTGCTGCTCGCAAGATAAGAGTCAGGGGAACTGGAGGACGCAGACAGCAGGGTTGGTCACTGCCCCACAGCTCCTGCTGCTGTCAGCCCCCCACGGACCTCCCAGGCCTCCTGACTGCTTGCCAGAGGAGGGACCCCCGAGGTCCCATGGGAGAAGCACGGGACAGTCTGATGATCCCCGCTCCACTTGGAAGTCTGACCTTAGCCCAGCCTGGGGCTGCGGCTGAAATCCTCACCTGAGCGATAGAAATGGTGGGGGGATCTCGGGATGGTGGGGGACATGCCCTGGCGGCTGTAGGTGGGGGAGTCAATGTAGCCAGGGCTGGAGGCTCGCCTCTGCCGGGTGTCAAAGCTCTCGTAGATGTCCTGGGGACCGGGAAGGGTGCAGAGAGAAGGGGGGTTAGAGCTGATGGGATGAAGGACGAGGCAGGTCAGTGCCAGCCCTGCATGGAGATGTCCCATGGCCGGGCATCCCCATACTTGCGGCAGCCCAGGAGGGTGCATGCTCCGTGGTGTGACATGCTGGGCAGCGTGTGTCTCCTCCGTAGCTGGAGGGGGTCCCCAGGATGCTCTGCCTCCCCGCCAACAGAGCACAGGCAGCGAAACCCAGGGGTTGGGATGAGGTGACAGTGTCCGGCCAGAGGATTTCAGTCCCTTGCCCGGAGATCGTCCCTTTCCCCTGAGCTCATTCCCAATTTCCAGTGTCCCCCTCCACAGGGCAGAAGCTGCACCCCGGGTCCACTCTGCCAGGGAGGGCTGCATGCTGCTCTCCCAGGGGTCCGAAGGACAGGACCCTCCCGGACTGGTTCCCCCATCTTGCAACAGCACCCAGGCAGGGGGACATTCAGCAGAGCCCCCGCGGTCCAGGGGCAGAGGGACACCCTGCGGTGGCAGCGGGTGACAGACCCCTTGGTGCCTGCCGGGGGCATTACCTGCGAGTATGGGGAGAGGGTCCCCAGGGACTGGAGGCAGCAGGAGGCAAAGGCGGGGGGGGAGAGAGAGAGAGAGAGACAGCACACAGTTAAGGGGAGCAGTGGCAGACTGAGGTCCCACAGTGGCTTGTTTTCCCCACACCCCAGCCTCACCACAGCTGCCCGGCAGTGAGGGCGGCTGGTGGCACAGCTGGAGTGACACCGTGGCAGGATGCCAGGCAGGGACCCCTTGACTGGGCGGGGAGCTGGCGTGAGGATGGCACCTCCTGAATCAGCAGCCTGCACCCCTTCTCAGAGACCTTGGTGGAGCCCCTCAGCGCATGCGGCTGCAAGTGGGGAAGGCAGCCGCTGGCCCCGCGGTGCAGCACAGTGGGCCGTGGCCATGCCGCTGGCACTGCCATGGGGTGCACTGGAGGAAGGCAGGCTTGTGAGAAGCCTTGGGACTGGAGATGTAAGAGATGCTGCTGCTGGCCATTACAGAGTTCTCTTCCAGGACCACCTCAGGTCCCCCATCACTGTGTGATCTGCTCAGACCCTCTTCTTCCAGAGGCTTACTGAAATCATCCAGCAGCCCCAGCCTGCCTGGGGGAGCAGGGCAGAGCAGTCCTGTGCCACGTGCTGCTTGGGCATCGTCTCATCACACACCTGCAAAAACGCACGGACCGACTCCCTTCCACTTGCTGTGGGGCCAGCACCCAACAGGGACAGTCTTACTATGCTCCAGAGATGCTGTGCCAGGGCTGGGTGGCCTGGGCCAGCCTTACTCCCTACTCCAGCTAAGGGGGAGCAGGCACCATGCATATGGGACGATTGCCTGCTCGGGACCAGGCTTTGGGCCAAGCCGTTGGGCTGTCCTGCCAGGTGCCTGTCCCTCCACCCCAGGGGGATGCAGTGTGCTATGTGCCTTCCTCGTCTCCTGATGCGGGCTGTGATGGGTGAGCTTCCCACCATGTCGCTCCTGAGGGTGACATCTGCTCCCACACAGCGCTGTCTGTTCCTGCGCATCAGGCTTGCGGCACGACGTGGGCAGGGTGCAGTGACCTGCTAAGGTCACTGGTTTCCTTCTTGCTCTGTAGCAGCAGCACCACGGGTTCCCTTCCAGCCTTCTTCCCAGTGATAGGGAGCCTCCAGGAGAGGTCTTACCCCTGCTCCTGCTTCCCTGCAGTATTCCCATGGCAGTGAGCAAACCCACATGCAGTTTCCTCCATTGTCCCTAATTGGAGCCCAGCTCCCTGTACAGCCTGGCATTGGGCATATTGAGACTCAGTACCTCCCCATAGCTATATCTCTCCAGCGTCTCATCCGACGTGTATCTGTGATAGGGCTCGTAGGAAATGAGGTCAGGACGCTGCACTTCATAGATGGCTTTAATCTTGGGAAGAGCTGCCAGGTCTTTGTAATTAAGGATCTCATTATCCACTTTAGCCTAGGGAGAGGGAGAGACAGAGACAGAGAAACAGGAAAGGAAGAGAAGGAGAGAAGGAAGGAGAGGCTGCAGCGCACAGTGTGGACCCAGCACAGAGCAGAGCCTGCAGTCACCCCAGCAGCGGAAGAGGTAAGAGGAGACCCCAAAAGGCAGCAGCAGAAGGGGCAGAGGAGCTGGGAGGGTGGAACTGCACCCCTCCGAGCACTCCTGGTCTGTGCCAATGGCACTTGCGGCATGCCATGCCGCTGGGCTGAGGGGGCACGGCTTGTCCGTGCTGTCCCCAGATGCTGGGCTCATCCCTGGGGGACACCCCATGCTGCAGAGCAGCACCAGGAACTGTTGCTCCCTTTCTCTGGGGCTGGCACATTTGCCCTGCCCCACGCGGATGAGGGGCAGAGCTGTACTTACGCAGATGACGCGGTTTGGGGAGCCGATGCTGGAACCGGGGGGCGAGATGGAAGTTTCTGATGTCCTTCTGTGCTGTGGAGGCAGAAAAGCAGAGGACAGGTGAGAGCACGGCAAGGAGGGACCCCTGAGCATGCAAGAAAATCGTTGGGTTTGGGGCTGAATTTCACTTGAGGTCCAGTTGCTCCGCCCTTTCATCTGCCTGCCGCCGGTGCCCACGGCCGTTGCAGCTGCCCTGCCGCCCAGCTTTGCACCCTGGCCTCTCTCGGGTCCAGATACACAGTTAGGCGAGTGGTCTGGCAAGACCACTGGCGGCTGTCCCCATGGCCAGCTGAGCACAGAGAGCGTGCAGCAGCTCCAGGGGTGCAGGGGGTGGTGAGGGGACTGCTGTGCCCCCTCCCCGGCTGTGGCATGGGCTGGTGCCAGCCAGGAAGCAGGTGCCTGCTAACAACTTCAGCCACGGCCACCCATGGGGCAGCGGGGACAGAGCTCATGCTAGCCTCGGGAAGCCATCCTGGCCTTTGGACACTGCCACAACAGTTCACCTCCAGCAGGGACCCGGGGGAACATCACCTGGGACGTGCAACCTCTCGGAGATGCCCCCACTCTGCTGCCTACCTTTAGCTTCTTCTCTGCTCTGGCCGCCTGCTTGCAGATGGGGTGCCACACTTCGGAGCCTGCAACGCAGCAGAGGGAACGCGTTTCAGCTCCACGCACAGCTCACCCCGCTGCTAGGGATTGTCCGGCTCTCCCTGCCATGGGGCAGTCCCGACCCCCAGCTCAGCAGCTGCACTGAGCAACCGGTCGTGTAGCAGTACAACCCCTGCACGTTAGGGGGGCAGCTTCCGGGGGGCCCTGCAGGGGCGGGAGGCAGGAATTGGAGTCTCTCCATGGGGAGCAGGGCAGGAGGCAGGCGGTAAGCCCCGAGGATGCCGAGGTGGGGGGTCACCTGCTGGGTCCCACTGGCTTTACTGGGCTCCTTCTTCACTACAGCGCAGCCACAGGCATGCATCCGCTGGGAAGACTGGGCAGGGGGGACTGGTGTCCGGACTAAGAAATGAAACGGCTCCCAAGCACAGAGATGCAGTGGCCAGCACTACTAAACTGTGACAGCAAACCCAGGTTTGTTTTTGGCACAGCTCAACTAGTGCTCAGCCAGGCAGCTCTTTCTGGTTAAACTCAGGGTAACACCGAGCCCGGGGCACCCGCAGCCCCTGCACACCCTGGAA